CTAAACGAGGTTTCACTTCAAGTTGAAACTTTTCCTGGAAGTTTGCCTTACCATAAGCTTTCGTTTGAGCCCTGTCCCGTTGACCAACTTGGATGTACTAGTCTACTTATGCACCGGACTAATAGTCCAATATCCTTGATTTTAGCACATGAAACTGGAAAATTGGCAACGCTGTACAGCCTAAACCAGGGGTCACTTCAAGTTGAAACTTTGCATGGAAGTTTGCCTTACCATAGGCTTTCATTTGAGCATTGTCCGGTTGACCAACTCGGGTATAAAAAAAAAGGGGCGAAACTTGGCGAGGCTCTTTGAAGGTGAACTTCAAATGGAAAGCCTCCATTATTACTGCACTCGCGGATTGCCTCTTGAGTTAATAGGGAACATTTGCACAGGTGAGAGAAGGTGCAGCCCTGAAAATTGGAGGGTTTTATTTTTGAGTGAGTACTAAAACCGTAAAAAATGAAACTACTTTATTTATTCTCCTCCGGGATACCTATTTTTCTACAAAGAGAACCCGGTGAAAGTGTTTGCACGCCGGGATAGTTTCGTATCCTTCACTTTTTTACATATTTATCTCCTTTTTTCGGCTTCAATTCCGTCGCATAGGCTGTGGCAAATCTACCGGGCAGCAACAATTATAATTACAGTAAAATGTAGGAAAATGTTCATCAGAACACGCGTCTTTGAATGATTAATTGCCTACTGTCATGATACTTTCTTGAATGCATTTCGGCATCATTACCCGGAATTTTTAATTTTTGATTCTTTCAATATGCATTGTGATACTTTCTTCTTTAAAGTTCTCAGTGTTGTGTTTCGTAAATATTGTTCTTGTTGAAGATGGCATCTAATGATACCAAAATGCATCCAAGAAAGTAACGTGAAAATAAAAAATTAATTATTCAAAAACGCGTGTTCTAGTAAACATTTTCCTACCTTTTATTTCAGTTTTAATAACAACACGCGAAATGAGATTCTCTCGTTGAAAATTTTAAGCTGTCCAAAAAGCGTACACATTTCTCAGCATTCTCAAAATTCCGGATGAGGGTCATGCGCTATCAGCTTTTCATGCGAAACTGTTGCATGGAAATTAGCATTGAATGGTTGCACCGGAAAAGATGCATAAGGCAAAACTGCGGTTGACCCAACTTATTTTTAACACTGACTCGTGGCTTAAGGAGGATTGCATAACTCATTCGTCGCTCTGTTGGTAATTGATAAAATTTCAAGGTCATCACTGAAAGAAAAGGAAATGTTTTTCGAAATTCTAAACCGACGTTGGAAAAAATGGAAGGAAAAAGTCTAAAAACCTTCAACGATAGAATGATTTTAGAGCCCACTTGGTTTTGTGAGCAAACGAAAGTTTGTCAGCCTACCGACCTGTCGTCAACTCGGTAAGGAATTAATATTTTTCTTTTATTTTTTCAAATGTACCAGAATTGATAATGCTTGGTCACAAAATTTGGTCTCCCTTTTTCAACTTTTAAGGTGTCTCAAGACAAATTTTCCGATAATTAGAGGACTGTTTTGATTCTGAGAGTGCCAATTCAGGGGTTTGGAGGAAAAGGCGAATAAGTGCAGTTCTTACTATTTCGAGAAATACGTGTTTGAAGTTTCGCATTACATGGATCCTTATGGCGGAGAGAAAGTTGAAACTGATTTTTTGATGCTTGAAAATTCGGGAGCGAATTTTTCACAGAATATGAATTAAGTAAGACAAGCATTACTTGAAAGCATTAATTTCTCAATTTTTTCACAGTGGCGTGGCGTGCTTTGCGGTGAATCGATTTATCTGCCATTTAAACCTATGGAAAGGGATCGATAAACAGAGTGTTCGCGCCGGAAACCTCAAAAATCGATTCTTTACCGTAGCTTCAAATGGGGAGATCCGAGGTCTGTTAGATTAGAAACCGGATTTTGGTCATAACTAGCCTACTGTGCGCTTGAATTAGGTTTTCTAGGTCTTTCCTGATAGCTGAAAACATACTTAAGAACGCTACGTTCACAGATTTGAAAAATCTAAATTAGCTTCGTTGGTATGTGGCTTCAAGTACAGCAACCTCATGGGTGTTTTGCGATTTTATGTTTGACCGAACTTGTCTCTCTTTTTTCGGCCATGCACTACATTTTTCAATCCACAAGGATGATTGGAGTTTCGTATCGTAGCCGTACAGCGTACACTCAAGTATTATGACCGAAAATTATCCTATCCAAAAATGTAGGATCATTGTTAGAACGTTCAAGCAGCTATGGAGAAATTAACATTTGGTTGGATTTTTGTTCAACGGACAACAATCAAAGGGCAAGTGTACCTAAAATGTCGATGCATGTCTATATATTCTATCAAAATTGTATGTACAGAGCCTTCAGAAATATTACACTGTTCAGCAAGCTCGAAACAACCATTTTCGAGACTTTTGCCAGCAGTTCTTCCACGTGAAAAATGTTAGTTGCCGTTGATGGTCGATTCCCATGCTCCTCATCTTCAACGAACTCCTGACCAGTTTTGTATTTTTTAACCCACTCAAAATAGTGAGAACAGCTCATACAATGATCTTGGTAAACTTTACCTAACATACCAAAAGTTTCGGTACAAGATATACCGAGCTTAAAACAAAATTTAATGTTAAATTTTTGCTCTATCAAAGATCGCATGATGAAAATCGCAAAACGCACCTGACTTCCTCATATTCAAGATGACACAGAATAAACACTGATCAAAATAAACAAAATCTGTGAACGTAGCGTTCTTCAATATGTATAATCAGCTATCATTAAAGTCCAAGAAAAACCTAATTCGGACGCACGATAAGCTAGTTGTGACCAAAATCCGGTTTCTAATCTAACAGACCTCGTATTTATAACCGATCATTCACGCCTCGCCACTGTTTCCGAATTTCTCGTCATGTGATTCATTTTCCGTGCAAGATTTTGAAGAGGAAATAGGTGACTTTGTTTGCAGTTAAAACCTTGTTTAGTGGCTCATTGAGTTTGTGTTGATTGTCAGAAAAGTTGGTAAAGAGTATGATAATAATTATCTAATTTTGCAACAAAAAAATAAAGAAAACATCGCATTACGCATGACTTTAAAATTTCAAAGCACTCTCACACTCAGATTATTTCCGAACCGACTGACAGCACTTGTATGTGGGCCTAATTACGCGAGAATAAGACGGTTTATTCAAAAATATTAGTACTATTACTGAGAAAAATTTGCTTTGTGTGCCAGCATTGGTGATAGCTCCCTTCTAAACTAACATCCTGCGAATGGAAACTATCTTCCCTCCGGAGTTGATTGTGGCTAGTAAGCGTTCAACAATATCTTCTCACCTCAACTAAATTTCAAAGAGCTTTATGCAAAGCGGCCAAATCTCCTATAGCTCTAGTTGCTTCCATTTTTAGTATAATATTCTAATTTAAAAAAAAATGTCTGCTCAATGGCAGCGTTGCAAAAGTTGCTTTTATGAATCCGATTCCTCGTGCATTTATTAAGTTATTGACCAGCGGTTTGTGCTAAAATTCTGTAACCTCTTGACACAGAAGCTGGGTCAAATTGACCCGAGCCTTGCTAAAAGCACGTTTTCCGCGTGTTGTTTGAGGCAAGTGCATGGAGGCTTTAAATATAGCTCTACAAATATATCCTAAAAAAAGAATCAAACTTCAAATGGAATAGGAAAATTAAGTGTCGACGCAGCGGACGATAGGAAAGACGAAATCGGGTTTCGTTTTTCTATCCCGAATTCGAGCGACACCTCATTGGGATAGGATTAATACTTTTTGCTGTCACCTTTTTTATTACTAATAAAAAAAAAAAAAAAAAACCCTCATTGGGAGCACAGAGTGGAGCATTGAAAATTCACGCCTCGCCCTATGGGGCCCATGGCGCCTTCAGTTTTGCAGATGCAACACGGACATCCATCAAGCACGAATAGTTGTATCTCCCCGCCGTCATCAACACGCGTCCTTTCCCTCGCTCTATACCCATGTTGTGTTCCGTTTGTTCATAACGTTCCGTAATGATAAAACTAAACATCGAGTCAACCGAGTTCGTTTCGGGGAAATCATAATGACCCGATTTCGTGAGAAAAAAGTGCATGGCAGAGATAAACTGAGATCTTTCTGGGGCTTTTTGGGACATAAATTTGACCCTGAAAGTTGCTGCGAGGCCTACATGTGACATCCTGAAGTTCATAAGTCTTAGGTTAAATTTTTAAAATTGAAGGTCGAATTTACGTTAAGATTCCTAACATGCATATAGGAAAGGAGCAGTTAGAGCTCTCTGTGGTGATAAAATGGATCTGGAACGCGAAAAGCTTCAAAAATTCCGAGAGGGTTTTTCCCATGGAAAACTCAAAATCGCCGATATCGACATTTATCCCTAAATTTGGATCTCTGGGTAAATTTTTCCGAAGAAAATAAGTTCTGTTTTCGCAGATTTGGTCACAATTTTATGTATATTTGGACGTATTTCTGCCAAACAAAACTAAACGGGTGTGCTCTAGCAAGCTGGATGATAAATAGTGTAAAAGCGGGTGTAATTCCTTTGGATAAACGGAAAAGCGGGATTTTACATTATGTCACACGGAACTATGTGCCAACTAATTGTGGCACTCATGAGCCATGGGCATGTGAAAAGAGCCTCACTGGAAAAAAACACATTGGATCTAGAGTGCAGACTCTTAAAAACATCGACAAGAAAAAAATACCCTTGATTCAAGCAGATTTAAGGTTAAATCAAGAACCAAGCCTCTTAATTTGAGCAGATTTCCTTTTGATTTAAGCTTAAATCTGCTTGAATCAAGAGTCCTTTTTCTTGTCAATGATTTCAAGAGTCTGGACTCTAGATCCAATGTGTTTTTTTTCCCCCAGTGCTCGTGAACAGGGTTCATGAGTTGAAGACTCCCGAGGACGACCGCGGCGGCGGCTTCGTCGCCTCTGACGTCACCGGCGCTTCATAATTCCCATTCATTCTCACGGCCATCGACTAACGAGCACACCCCTTCTTTCTCACCTATGTCTCTTGTTCATTATTGACAAAATACTTCCATTCATATTCTGCCTCAAATTTAAAAAAAAAAATATTTGTTACGTGTTCACAGCATTACTACGTTGCTTCACTGATCAGGATACGATGAAAAATTGTCGTGAGACGGCATCAGCCGCCTTCCTTATCTTGGTAGTATGTTCTACCATGCAGCAGAGCTTCGGATGGCCGTTCCCCGGCTTTTTCGACTATGCGCCCACACCTGCTTCGTCATACACATATTCCGTTTCAATGACGCCCAACAACACATCATCCAACGATACCTGTTCGACGGTAACAACATCAACCGTAACAGTCACCGCAACAGATTCGACCCCGACAGTAACCTCAACCGTTACGTCGAGCAATTCAACGGCAACCGTCACCTCGACCCCTCCTCAGAATACAACAACTATAACAGTAACGGTAACAAATACAACGACGGTAACGGCGCCGGCGAATACAACGACCGTAACCACGACTCAACCCGGAAATACAACAACTGTAACATCGACTCAGCCTCAGAATACAACAACTGTAACGTCAGTTGTAACTAGCACCATAACGTCGACCCCACCCCCAGCTATGATTACAGTGACTGCCACTACAACAGCCACGCTTACGGATACTTCAACCACAACCGTAACATCAACCGCAACTGCAGACACAGTGACCGTCAATTCAACGGTAACACAAACAGAAACACAAACAGTGACTCCATCTCCGGTCACCGTAAATATGACCTCAACCTTAACAACAACAGAAACGGTGACATCGACTCCACCTCCGAGCACCGTAAATATGACCTTAACCGCAACAACAACACAAACGGTGACACAAACAGTGACTCCACCTACGGTCACCGTAAATATGACCTCAACCTTAACAACAACAGAAACGGTGACAACGACTCCACCTCCGAGCACCGTAAGTGTGACCACAACAGTGACAACACCTTCAACCGTGACGACCACTGAAACTCAAACTTGCACGTGTCCACCACCGGGCACGGTAACTTCAAGTGAGACCATAACGGTGACTCCACCGCCAGAGACGGTAACTCAGACGACGACTTTGTCCGCGACTCCGTCAACTGTAAATGTCACAAGGACGATAACAACGACTCCAGCTCCAGTCACTTCCACAATAACATCTACTAGGAGTACAGTTTCAACTACAACGGTAACCGTAACCACAACCACAACCAGGAGAAACTAACCCGGCTGTAACCAAACCGTTGTCCACGAGAATGGAGCCGTAACTAGGATCCTGTGACGTCACGCTAATAGATGAAACTCGGCCGCGATTTAACATGTGTTCTTTTGGGAGAACGCATGACACATGTCATTTTGTGCTAATATCTTTTCAGGGATTGATCTGATGCAAACATTCATAAAAACATTTTTAAAAGAGGATAAAATTTCACAAATGAAAACTGCCTAGTTCATAAATTACATTGTCTGATAATTGAGGAAATAAAAGCTAAATACGACTAAATACCGAAAATCGTTACCCCACTAAGATTCAAACCGCCGCTCATGCAACTTCGGCCGATCGACGGCGGCTCTGATTGGTTGTCAACACGGCGATTACTCTACTAGTTTGACGTCACGAAACCGAGTAGTTACGGCCTCCCCATTCTCGTAGGCAACGACCGAACTTAACTGAAACTGTCACCAGAGCTAATCTGTCGTGTTAAGGAAGAACGTCGTATGGACATTCGAGGGTTGCCGAAGTCCCTTCAATAGAATGGTTATTTTTGAAGAAATTTATAAATATTTTTCCTTGAAATTTTCAGGAACTTGAGGTGAAATTGCGAACAATATTCGGAAAAATTGGAAGAAAAATATTCGTAAGTTTACCAGGAAATTCTTGTTTTAGAAATGGAAAATTGGCAACGCTTGAAGGTTTATACGGCGTTTTCCCTTAGCACGGCAGTATTGGAGACAACTTATCCTGCCTCTCAGTCTGCCTAGAAAGTATCGTCCAAATGTCTACACCTGTCCTCAGGTATCACAGTGTAATGAAAATATTGGAATAGTTATGTAATGGGTCAGTTTAGCGCTGGTTTCAGAATCTTATTTTGATGCTTGATTATTAAAAAGTCACTAGAAATAATATAATCTATCTGAACAGCAACTTCCTACGCTCAATATTAAGCGAGATATCGTTAATTAAAAAATTCGTTTGATGTTATCCACCGTGGTGGCGACATCCTTGCTTTCTTCCAACTTGCTTTACTCCAAGTTTTACGTAGGGTCAGCGCAGAGAAACCATTACAAATTTGTAAGTCATTGACTGATGAAAGCAAGGTGGAAGAAACCAAGCGTGTCACTACCACTGTGGATCACGCCATAAACCGAATTTTTTAAAGCGGAATATCTCGATTAATATAGAACGTAAAGAAATGCTGTTTGGACGGATCTTATAATTTTTATCTGGTCTATAGGAATATGAAGCGTCAAAAATTGACTTTGGAAACCAGGGCAACTGACCCGTTGAATTCAATGAAATTGTCATTTTTTTACCATGATACTACAATATTTGTACGTCTTTCCGTCAACTGAATGCTGATTTCCAGCGATCAATAAAATAAGTTTCAAGTGTGAGATGCAGGCCGTATGCGATACAAAAAACGTTGCAACTTATTTCAATATTACTGCAATCAATTTCCATATGAGATGCCCCTTCAATTAGCAAATAGACAACATACACGACACTCCGATTTCATATAGCAGCGGTTCTTAAAATTTTCAGCCTGTGGACCCCTTCGATCCTTGCCTGCGGGCTAATTGTTGAAATTTGTAGACAGGGTAATAAACAAAGATGACAAAAATTATATGGAGGGATCCTATTGGTGGAAGCCGGTGGTTATGCGATGGACAAAGGAATAGGTAATAGAAAATAATAAAAAATAGGAAAAGGTAATAGACTAACTAACGGCAACCCACGAGAGACCCTACAGTTAGTCCAACATTTTCTCCCTCAGTCTATAAAAACCACCCGTTTCAACCAATTGGATCGCTCCATACTCTGTATGTCTTTTTTGTCTATCGCTTTGTCTATCAATTTCAACAATCAGCCTCCTGACGGCTGGCGGTCCCGTTTTGCAAACGTCTCTAAAAATAATATGAAATTCAAAAAATTTGTAACAGACCTATAGAAAACTATATTTTTGAATCTGGGTGAATCAGGGTTTACATTATCGGGGCAGCATTTTTCCTTTCCTAGCATTTCCCTAGTCAGGATTCGTTAATTCGTTTTTTTCCGGCCGAAGTATCACATTTGCCCTGCGACGTTTCAAAATGTCCGCCGCCATTTTATTTTTTTTACAGAGAAATTGTCCAACGAAGCTGTCCGAAAATTTCACGGCATTTTCTTTGTGCTGCCGATAAAATTGAATGAAATTCTCAAACAGAATCAACCGAAAATTTCTCTATAAAAAATAAAATACTATCCGAACACAAGTTAGATTAAATTGACTTCAATCAGCTACATCTATTCATTAGTGTATGTCGATGGCTAACGGTCAATACCGCCTATCTGCAAACTGGACTACATTTTGCAATTTGGAACTATAAATTCTTGCCGGTTTAAAAACAACGTATGTGTCATTAGTTTCCCTATGCACACAAGTGTTTTTCCAGAAGAGCCAGAATTTATAGCCTAAATTGCAAAATGCAGTCCAACTGATCCTCCTGCATCGGCACAAACATCCAAGCAAGATGAGAACTGCTTAGCTCCACCAGTTTGAATAATAGCGCCAAGCACAGTGTGTCGGCGTGCGCGCATATTAGCGCCTTCAGACTCTGTGAATACTTCTCACATTGCGCTAAACACAGCAGTCGGCGTGATACGCACATCGATGGCTAACGAACAATTCCGCTTAACCGCGAACGGACGATTTTGTTGAACGAAGAGAACGTCATTTTATTATTAATAAATTTAATATTGTAAAATGCGGCCGTCTCTATTTCATTTTTGCCATAACTGTCTTTTTGGCGGTATTCTTCCTTGGCTGTCGAGGTGCGTGTACTTAGGATTATAATTATATGCCACATTTATATATCTTTTAGGAGTTTGTTTTTTGTTTAAGTATGCTTTAGTTTTTAATAAGTGCACTTCGGATTGGATTTATATGTCTTATTTATTTATTTATTTATTTATCTATCCATTTATTTATTTGTTTATTTGTATTACCGTATTTATTGAGAGTCATTTTTTTTAAGTGATTATAGTGTTTTAGTTTTATTTTTATTCATGATTTAGTTCTTAATGTGGGTACTTTAAGTTGGATTTATATGCATATTTTATTTATATTAATTGATCCCTTCGTGAAACTGCGCTCTTGTGGACAAGAACTAATAATTGGAATTTTATATAAAAAATCAAAAGTTCAACAGAATGAAAAGATGGCTCGGAAGTTCATCCAAAGCTCGCCGAAGTTGTATAAGTTGTCAATTTGATCACCTTCGATAGTTGTAAGAGGACTGAATGAAGCCATGAATTGTTTCAAAATATATTTTACTTATTTTTATCTCTTTTTATGAGTTTATTTCGGATACTTTCTTTTTCATCACTTACGTATTGCAACTTTTTGCACCATAATTATAATGCCGTGTTTACGTCAGTTAAAGCATTTTAATTCCGGTCCCTTGTCCTTTTCCCATCATCATCTCGGTTGGAGGAACAGCGAGCTAATTATTGAAAGTGATAGACAAAGATAGAAGATGAAAACTCATCTCCTACATCTCTGCACATTGGAAAAAAAAAAACACATTGGATCTAGAGTCCAGACTCTTGAAAACATTGACAAGAAAAAGGACTCTCGATTCAATCAGATTTAAGCTTACACCAAAAGGAAATCCGCTCAAATTAAGAGGCTTGGTTGTTGATTTGGACGTATTTCTACCAAACGGAACTATGTGCGCCAAGACATGAGCCTTGAGACCCATAAGAATACATGCATAACGGGGCTCGCGTCATAATGCACATAGTTCCGTTTGGCAAAAATACGTCCATTTAAGCTTAAATCTGATTGAATCAAGAGTATTTTTTCTTGTCGATGTTTTTAAGAGTCTGGACTTTAGATCCAATGTGTTTTTTTTTTTTTCCAGTGCAGTAGATGATCGTATGGAAAAATGAGAAGGCGCTGAATTGAAGGGTTTAGTTGATAAATAGTTTAGAGACTACACTCTACATGCATTATGCAAAGTCAGCAAACCATCATGCCCCCCCCCCTCCCCCTCTTGAAACCATATTAAGGTAACTACTGCAAAATTCAATTTATCGCTGTCTCTTTTGGCGCGTATACGTAGTATACCGCCTTTGCGATCGTTTCGACCCCCCCCCTCGATACAATAACCGAGTCCCCTAGTTCCTTACCGAAAAGTGACTACCGCGAACTTCTGAGATTTTCCAAAGCGTGTAAAAAGTTTACTAATCCGTCAATAATAATGATTAAAATTTGTTTCTCATTCTGGGGCTCGCTAGTTTATGTGTAATGAATACCAAGAGTCTACGTTTCTTGGTTTTTTTTAAAAAAACCTTAGAATGGGGCGCGCTGATTTAAAATATGCATATATAAGCGGAAGCAAGCGAACTGATTCGAGGATGGCTGACCAGTTCGGCACTCCTTGAATGAGAATTTCACTCACTCCGTTTTGTTCACAACGTTGCTTTGACATATCTCCACAACACTGTTATCCTTTTCAAAAGTTGGTACTCCTTGCTCTGATAGCCGGGGCCACCAGGATAGTGGTAAGTGCAATCTGTGATGAGCCTCGAGACTCATTAGACCATTTGCTAAACGTGGCTCATACAGGAGTCCACTAAGCCCTCTCGTCCCCACGCTCCTGATCACTGCGTCGGCGTCACGAAGAACAATGGGCCTTGGGTCCCAACGCGGCCGATACCCGTACCCCAATTACTCACGCTTCATTAACCATTTCACCGTCACGCTAGGATTCATCCAATTTTCAAAAAAAATTGTTTCGCATGTATTTAGCAATTTTTTCCTTACTCTCCGTTAAAACACAAATAAAAAGAGACCTCATTCATAAAAATCGGCCGAATAGAAGAGAAGTTACAGTAATCGAAATCCGAAGAAATCAACAAAACCTCGACTCCTCGATACGAAAAATAAAATGAAGGGGAAAAAAAGAAAGTATAAATTACAATTAAATATAATTGACCTCAAAATTTGACAAACAATTCATTTATATACCTAACGCTGAAAAAACTGGGAGAAATTACAAAAAATTTGCCTCTTGCAAGGGGCTTCTTTGTAAGAATTTTGACCTGAAGACAACGGTCGAATAACAGCAGTACTCCATACAATACACGGTGTGCCTGAACGAGTTAAACATTTTTCATACGTCCAAATCGAAAAATCTTTATATTTTTAACTACAATGTTTCTTGAATCGTTTAAGCAAAAAAAAAAAAAAAAAAAATTCCGTCGAGATTCTGGAACGCAAAGGCGCTTTAAAAGTATTCTGGGGCTATAATAGCTAAATCACCGGTAGTAAATTCGTTATATTATTAAAAAGAAATTGACTCCATAGTTTAATTCCTTAGTTTCTTGAATACGATTATTTTAAGCACTTAAACATTTATACCACCAATTTTAGCCATGGGGTGATTTCCTGAGAGCCGATAATATCACGAATTTCTCATAGAACCCCTCAACAGTGGCTTGCTTTTTTGGCAGCCGATTCG